TATATACCCTCCAATTTTATTGATTTATATATATATTATATAATAGCTCAGAGAATGATACAATAGGTAGCTTATCATTTTATTTAAATCAATTAAATTGAACGGCTTAATATTCGCTACCTATTGAATACTTAATTATCTCAAAATATCAAGCCATTTGAAAATACGATTAATTGTTTCCAGATTCACGTGTTAATAAAATAAATTTAATTCTTATTAGTACTACTATCTTAATCAGATTGATGGAGTCACAAATGATTTAACAAATCGCTCAGTTTTGGACAAGTATTTTGTTCATATTTCTTATAGCTACTATAAATAATAATTTAAACAATATATACGATGTAAGAGACATTTCATTACTTGCTGGCAGAAGCATAAAATGTGCTAAAGTGAAGATATTACGGCCAATGTCTTATACGTTTAATCTTATCCACGGGTGGTAACTCATAACATCGCAAACGTCGCACCGTCATTTCATAAAAAATCCTGCAACATTCGCATTCTCAATTTAGAAAATTGTAATATCAATATTTCAACTTTTCCAATGTACCGATCTAATGTACTTCTTGGTCAGATACAGAAACTATGAATTATACAATTTAATTTATAACTTGACTAACGATAAATTAGGAGGACGAATCATCTTGAAATCTGTGATAACGTCGAATGAGACAACCGTATCAGTTTTTTCTTCAACTTGCTCCTCTCCTTCAAAATACTGTCCCGGTTTAATGATTGTATGGTAAAGCGAAGTAGAATGATCAGCTAAACCTTCGAACGAACAACACTGCACATACAATCTGAATTTCCATTTTCTTGTTCTTTTTTTTTTAAATGGCAATTCAGTGAGAGCTACAATCAAATCTTAACCTTAACCCATATCAAACGAAAAGCTATTATGTCCGGATCAAAACTGAAACTTTATCTAACTCAGAGAAAGTTAGATTATACAAACAAACAAGATTTGGATAGAAAAAAACTGAAACACAAACGGTTGATGATTTCCGTAACCCTTTTCAAAGCCTCCAACCCAGCTGTCATTTGATTCGCACGATTTGCGTTGTGCGCGATCATCGCAATCCTATAAAACAATTAAAATTACCCTTATATGCGAATAAAAAAAAACAATTTAAGTACTTCTTAACGCTTAAAAATAGATTTGTCGATTGATTTCAAAATTTTTAAAACATTTTATATTATCATAAATTTGCGTAATTTTCAAAAATAAAAGAAATTGCCGAGTGTTTCCAACAGATTACAAAAATTATCCTACCAACACTTTTTATTAATTAATTAATAGCAGAATAGCTTACTGAATCAACAACACATATTAAAGCAGAAGTGTCAAATTAAATAACCAAATGAAAATTGAAAGTAAATGAAATGAAAATAAGTTGACCGCATATCGATGTTCAAAGCATGATGGACGGGAACAGTGCAAAATCGGTTGAGCATTTGGATGAACTTCAATCCCAAATGGTATCTTATTCTCTCCACAATATTCGCCTTTACATAGAGCAATTGGAATAATTAGTGAAATTATTGCTAAAATCTAAAATGAAAAATTCATTGGTGAAGTTTTAAATGTATCAAAATCTATTTATAAATTCGTTTAAAGTGATAAGAATACTACTTGACCACTTCATATTCAAAAGTATCATTACCATAACAGAATATAAGAGATTTGTAATAAATGTACTGGATAGATTAAAAGATTTGTGCTTCCATCCCTACAGTTATCTATTTCTATGGATTGTTCTCATAAAGAGGAGAAAAGAAGGAAAATATGATGAGAGATAAATATGTTGAAGAAGATAGTGTAATAATAATTTAATATCTTTTATTAGGATAAATTTATTCCACCGGAAAATCTCAGGATAATATCATTATAAAAGAAAATCTGGAATGGAAGAAAGAAGTGAAATTAAATTTGAAGTATAAGAAAGTTAAGCAAATAAGCTTACCATGAGGAATGATGATGCATCATGATAAGATCGTTTTACTGCAAGTTGTTCGTTACACACCGCATGCAATATTTCTCACAAAAAACACAATTCAACATGATTAAATTTGATCACAAACATATTCGGTTACAATCATTCAGTGCCATTCTTCATGCTAAATTCTCTTCAATATCCAGAATTTTAATCCAGATAGCTTTAAATGTAGTGAGCGTGCAATTATTATTCTGAAATGCAATTACGTTTTGGGATTATCTTAAATGATGAATTAACATTACAATTTATGCGATTAACTTTTTATACGATTATCTGAAAATGATAAATTAGCGTTACAGCGAAAAATGCGGTGAAAAATGACAGCGAGACCAATTTATACGATTATCTGAAATGATGTATTAGCATTATAGTGAAAAATGCGTAGAAACCAGATGTTTACGTATCATAGTACTTGGAAAATTTTAATGATAATCTGCTACTTGTTAAATTTTATTTTGATATACATCATAAACAACAATCATATCAGTAGTATGCGATCATCGATTAATACTTCAGTATTTTCATCACATTTTCTCTCTTTTTTTTAAAAAAACATCACAAAACCTTTCATGATTCATTTCATTCATTTGTTTCATCTCTAACTTATCTCATTTACACTTAATCAAATCATACAACATTGATAAGAGTATGAATTGACATGAATAGATGATTTATATAAAGGGTTAAAATAAAGTTTAAAAAGATTAAATAAGAAAAATCTCTGAAAATTTATTTAAATGAATCTTATGAAATATTAAATGTTATCAGTAAGATTAAAGATAATGTTTACATCTAAGCTATTTCTAAACGTCGCTATTTCAAACTTTCATTCTTATTATTGCACACATTCACATTTAAGATTTAATTCATTAAATTAAATGAATGAGAAAGCAAACTTAATTATGATGTAAAAGATCATTGAAGTGTTATTGTGAATGCAAATGATAAATATTTCTCATTCAAACTAATAAAAAATTATGAAGTAAAAGAATAGGAAAATGAATGATACATAGAATAAACAATTAAAGATGAAATAAAATTTCAATAAAAATTGATTAAAATTTTGTATTAGCAAAAATTTTCAAAATTCAATTTTAGTAATTATTATCATATCTTGAAGTAAATAATTCATTCAAACGGACAAACAAAGGTGATGTAAACAACAATAACAACAAAGGCAAACAACAATAATAATAATAATAATAACAACAACAACAACAACAACAAAAGCAGGTAACAATTGCAAATACAGGAAATGTTGAGCAGACGAAAACATTCGTTTTGAAATTACATGAGAAGAAGCAACGAAACGGTTGGAATAATCAATGTCAACAGGAAATGAAATAATACTGAGTGATGAAATGAGACGAGAATTGAACACTGTCGACTACCACACTATTTATCATGTATTTAGAAACATACATACACACATACGCACACATACACATACATACACATACATGCATATATATATATACACACATATATAACATGCAGCATACATACATTCATTCGCTAAGTGAAAAGATCAATTATTTCAAAATGTTGCGAAAATGGTGATGAAAAACTGTTGATGGTTTAAATGAACACATGTTCGAAATAATTTCATAATTAAAGGATAATCTCAATAATGATAAATGAGAATTATGAGATATCATGATTTTACATATGATATTGATAGTAATTATTGATTATTTCTATTGTGTTATAATGGTTTATTCAATTTAAAACACATAATTTCACCTTGGAGAAATTTTTAAATTATTAACAATCAATTTGCTATGATAGCATAATTTCATTCAATTATCATTTTTTATCAAATGGATGAAACATTCTTCATGACATATTTACTGTATGTATATCGAGGATGAATTGTTATGGCTGTTGAAATCTTCAAATTAATTAGTATCTTTATTATCAATATATTATTATCAAATTTATCACTTGTGTGCAAAAATGGTACAGTTGACTTGAAGATAAAAATTATGAGATAATAGTAATGAAGATAAAAATTATAAGATAATATGAGATAACACTTTCGGCATTTAAATTCGAATTTAAATTTAAAGTTTTTGTATTGCTAGCTTTTTCTCATTTTTTTTGTTGTTCAAACAGAAGTGATAAAACATAAGTATTCAATTAAAACGAAGGATAGGTAGGTAATGACAAGAAAACATCTAACATAACGAGAAAACGCGGGGAAAAAAGATGTGCACACAATTAGAGAAAGATTATTGTCGTTCCATATGATATAATAATGAAAAATGACGGATACTTAAAGTATGGCTATATTGTTATAATTAATGGTTTAAAATGGATTTTTAAATCCCAATGGCATAAATACGATACTGCCAGAATAACATATATGTTTTACGACACTATGTTTTACCACTGTATGATCAGTTATTATCCCACTCATAAATTACATTCAATACTTTCATTTTGGTTTGTTATATTATCTTCATAAGTAAAAAAAATTTTTTTATAATTTTAAAAGATAATTTTACTGAATAAAATCAAATAATTTTTATTACTTCAAAAATTAAATTTCAAAATATGAAAGTTTAATTTGCATATGAAATATTTCGTTGAAAAATATTTAAAGCATTGTTTTATATAAAGAAGTTTGACATATTCATATATTTTTAAATCTGTGAAATATTTTAAGAAAATATTTTGTTGTAAAGAGATGCTTATTTTTCTTACTTTTTTAACAGAACAAAATATTTCGAAAGTGTTAAAAGAAAAAAAGAAACTTTTAAATCTTTTCATATATTCTTTAACACTTCCAAAACATTACAATCAAATTTTCATTTCTTTTCTGCTTTCCTCATAAACTTACAAATCTTTAGAATGTGACAGAATTTGATGACAACGAATTTTTCTGCAACGAAATTTGATATTGTTGATTTTGCAATCAAAGAACAGCGATATTTTATACGAATCAAATTTCGCTAATATCTCGAAAAACTTTGTTATCGTTCAAAGTTTACTTACTTGATTTAATCCAATAATAATAGTTTCAAGAAAAGATTTGAAAAGGTTCAAATCTTAGGTTTGATTAAAGTCAGCAGAGAAAAAAAACTTATCATTAACTTATTTATCAAATTTGCTGGTGATAACAGAAAAAAAAAGATTATTTACTCCAAATGTTGCAATTATTCAAAAATATTTTACAACAATTATTTTTAATTAATTGCATTATTGGATATTATTTCTAACAGGATTTTGTGAAGAATGTTGTTATCAATTCAATCATTGTCTTTTTGGAAATCATTAAATGATAACAATAATATCAATGAAACAGATATGTTGCATTATGCTTATGTTATTCCTTTTATTCCGTTATATCAGTGAAATGGATGCCATATCGCAAATCATTTCATTTGATTTCATAAATTAAGCACTATTTCGGATATTTCCGCTTTTCTTATCTTTTCCATTCAAATATTAGTAATCGATATATATATATATATTTGCGTTCCAAATGCTAACAACAACAACAACAACAACAACAACAACAACAGCAACAACAACAACAACAACAACAACAACAACAACAGCAACAACAACAACAACAATTGAAAATTTTATTAAATACTTCCTAAAAAAAAATATCGATTACTAAATCTGGAAGAAGAAAAAGGGAAATGAGAAGAAATTCGCATGACAAATGTTGCAACAAAAATTTCTTTAAAAATTTTAAAATAATGCAACTTTTCATTTTCATAGTAAACTGTTAAATTACTGATGGAAATAAGAAAAAAAATTATGCAAATTTTTGCTCAGAAATTATTACACTACTATTTCTATCACCTTTTTATTGATAAATTGATAAATTTATTTATTGATAAATCAATTTATTGATAAATTTTAAAAGCAAACATTTTAGCATTTTACTGTCTTAAATTTCATTTCCTTTCCTTTCTATATGCTTTTTGTTTAATTAAATGACTATAAATTATATGTTGGAGAAAATATAGGAATAAATTCGTTGCGGTTTAAATTGCAGAATAAAAATTACAATTGAACTGATTGGAAAGACTGTTTTAAATGATGAAATGAAAAAGCTACAATTCATTGGAAAAGGTAATCATATAAATTCCGAAAGTAATCTTATTAGAAAAAAAAGAATAGATTCACTTTCGTTCAATATAGAAAGTATTAATGAGAAAATTTTGATTACATTTCTTCACCTGCGTACTTTACATTTTCATCATTTGAGTGTCAGTCCAAAATGTATTTGCTTTTCTGGTAAGTGTTAAACAAATATACTGCCTTGAAAAAGTCTTAATAATATTTCAAGTTTCTTTCTCATTCGTTTTTTCTCTCTTTCTTTCTTCTTACTTTCTTCATTTTTAAATTTTAATTTCTTCTCTTCTTCACTTTTTTTTAATTATCTCCTATTTTGCCTCACTTATCTTTTATCAAATTGTTCCTTCTAAATTTTCATCACTTTGATTGTTACTACTTTCACTTTACTGTAATTAAATTTTTATCATAATAATTCGATACTAATTTCATTTTTATTGAGTCATTAATTATAATCCTATCAAATCTGCCATCAACCATATCATTTTGATAAATTGTGAAATTTTAAAGTGACAAAAAAAAAAACAATTAGCAATATAATAGTTTTCAAATTTAGATGACAATCATGAGGATCATTTAATAAAGTGTTAATCTTAGTTAAACAATAAATGAAAACATCTCAGATAAACTATTTTTAGCTCAGGTGAACAAGACGATATATGATGAATAAGTACTGATGGCAGACGTTGAAGTTTGGGTGGAGCAATGAAAAGGGGTAAAAAGTGGGTGGGATACAACAAAATGAATGGATGAATGAAATAGGACGACTGAAATAACAGGACTTACTTAGTCAGGAAAAGGATTCTAGCAAGCATTCCTCGAGGCTAAATGATCAGTGCTAAATCATATACTGTCTACTAATTTTTTTTAATCAAATGGATCAAAAGAGCAACTTCCTAGCTAAAAGGAACTCTGTTATTATTATTATTATTATTTCCATCATTATTATTATCATCCTTATCAATGGATCATAATCATCATTCAGGATGCTATGTGTCGCAATCCCGTGACCCCCAAAAAA